TTGAATCTTGGCAGGCTTTGTGGCCTCAGCAAGAGCTACCACCCCTGCAGTTTTCACCCTGCTGTGGCTTAACACACGTACGTGACATGAGTTTTGCTTTCAAGAGTTTGAGGTGCAGTTTCCCAGAAACTCCTGCACCTGTCACTTTGAAGCTTGGCACATGTCATGCTCTTAGCAGAGGCTACTATCCCTGAAAGTTTCATCAGAATCAGCCAAAAGACAACAAAGTTATAGATATTTCATTGATTCCCCATTATACTCTATGGCTGAATCTCCAAATCTTTTCTGAATCGATTCAGAAAGCCTAAAGCTTCCAGTGATTCAATTCAGATTTGTAGATTCAGCTCTGAATCATCTCCAAATCTGAATCATGATCCGAAGCTTTGCACAGCCCTATTGTGTAATGCTGAACAATCACCTAGAGCAAACTAAAGCGGGACCTTTGGAGCTGGACTGTGTGAAGGAGAGTAAATGAAACTAAACCAACCCTTGCCTGGCTTGTGCCATCTTATGCACAACAGTACAAAGTGGCATTATCAGCTTGGGCCCCTGGGGTTTGCCTTCCTGTATGGGTCTGGCACTGATATTGGTTAGAGAGACTGCAAGGGTGAGGACAGCAGGAGTCAAGTTCTTCATGGACCCTGCTGTACCGAATATTGTTACCTGCAGCTGTGTTGCAGTCCGCCTCCATCACACATGCTGGTGCAAAGCAATGCCAACTGATGATCCTTTCAGTGATATAAGTAGCTATACTTGGGCCTCCTGACACCCAGCCAGGCCTGCATGCAAACCTCTAATGCTCTGCCTGAACCGCTGCATTTCTGCATGCCGGAAGGGGGGGAAGGGGTCTGAGCAGGGTTTTCTGCTGCATCCTGGGGGCTGTGTGTTCTTCTGGCATGTCCCAGGCACAGCACCTTGTGTGCTGCCTGTTTCAGTATGGGCACCTGCATGCGCTCTGCTGCCTGCATTTAGTTAACTTCAGTTGTCAGAATCTTCTTGGTTGCTGGGAGATTATCTTTCCAAAGAATGTGGCTGCACTCATTGTTAGCAAATGCCTGCACTTGGAGTGACTGTGCTGTGCTTCTGCTAGCCCCGGGTGCACAGCAGCTTGCTATTATTTCCAGGATTAGCTGCTAGCTCTACCCTGTGGGAAACAGAGCATGTCACAGATTTACTCCCAGAGTTAAGGCCCACAACTCAGGGACCTCACATCATCTAGTTTGACCTGCGTATCACAGGCTAGTTCCACCAGGTTGCCCCTTTACTGAGCCCAACAGCTTGTGCCCATCTTCAAGAAGGGTGCCCACTCCTGATCTGAAAACATTAAGAGAAGGAGAGCCCCCCACTCCCCATGTTAGTCTGTTCAAGGGTTTTATCACCGTTGTTAAAAACCTGTGCCTCATTTATAGTTTGGATTCACCCCACTTTGGCATCCAGCCACTGGTCTTTGTTCTGCCTCCTCCATGAAAGCAAACAGCCCTTCAGTAGCAGGTGTCTTTGCCCCACTGTCCTCCAGTTATCTTGTCCCTCTGTAGTATTTCATGAACTCCCAGTGGAAGGCCAGATTGTGGCTGGAAAGTTACAAGCCATATTAGGTGACCAAACCAAGCCCCCATCCTTGGTGTTTATTCATACTAAAGTCCAAGTACGCTATAAACACGAGAGACGTAACAAGGGGGGCTGGGGAAGGGCTTCAGGTCTAGTAGAGGAGAAAGTAGAAGTGGAGGTAGCAATTAGAGCTGGAAAATAATGCCTTGTTAGGGACAGATTTGCAGTTTGTTCCCTTCTGTAGAACAGTTTTGGGGATGGTTTTATTCATCAGTCAATGGGAAAAATAGACTGAAGGAAGAGCTGGTGGATCTCACCCTGCTCCAGGAATGCAGGGTGCCTGCCCCACAGGAGCTCGCAGAACTTGGCAGCCCTCAGGGAGGGACCATCCATATCCCTTTTACACAGGAAGAGTTTGAGGCAGCAGGTTGCAGCCAAGATTTGCAGAGATGGGCAGCTCTTCCTGTGGTACCCAGGGGACCCATCATAGACCAGCGCCTGTTATGCTAGGTGGTGCACAAAACAGAACAGAAAAATGGTCCCTCTCTGAGGGAATTTAGTATCAAAGTGTTGGACACAAAACAACAGGGGGATAGGGGCTGAGAGAGGACTTAAATGAGGCTGACCTGGTGCATGTGATGGGCAGTAGTCTCAGCTCACCAGCTGCCTTGTACTCGTCATGGCAAAGGAGAACTATGGGTGTCTCTACCTGCAGCTGCCCTCAGCTATGTTTATGAGTACTGTTACTCAGCACCTCTGAAACCAGGCCCTGAGCATTGGGAACTGAGGATTTAGAAGCACAGTCCTTGCCAGCAGGAGTGGCACTTTTCAGTGAAAGGAAGATGCTCTTCCTTTCCCCCTTCCACCCACCCACCCAAGGGCCCCTCTGCTTCAACCTTGCTGAGGTTTTCAGTGTGTTGTGGGCACTCAGGCACTGACTGCAACATCTGAGTGATGCAAAGCTTGGTCTCAGCACTGGAAAACAGAGGCACCTGTGAGCCTCATGCTTGTGACTGTGTGCAAGGGAGCTGCACCCCATCACAAACACCGGCTTCTGTGATGTGGCACTTGTAGCCACACTGCAGTTTAAACTAGGTACAGATACCAAGAGCGGCCAAGCTGCAAACCCTGTCTAAGAAGCTGAGTAAATTTGTCTGGGCTGAGCTCAGTGCTGCCATGGGTAGACTCCTACTGATGCCTGTGCTGGCCAGTTAGTGCTGGCTCAGGAAACCCTATGCTATGCTGAAGTCAGTGCTGTGACATGTGGACAGTCACTGTCAATGTCATGATTTGTGCATGTATTCTCAGGGTTTTTAGCTCTCAGTACAACCATGTTGGGCATACTGACACCTCCCAGGGGCATTCCCTGTAACAAAGGAGTAATGAGAAGTTCAGTGCCACTCGATGTCTGCCAGGTTCAGTCCAGCCTAGCAGCACTGCCATCCGTTTGTATTTAACATCCAGTTTCTGAGGCCCCATGGCACACATTACATTTACCTCACAATTAACTTGTCAACTATGTGATAAATTGCAACATGCCACACATGCAAGAAATTTAATGTGGAACATCTTTGTGATTGGTTAGTATTACGGTTTAATTTAAATGTGTAGCATGCAAGCACCTTAGACCCTGAGCCTGGGGAGCTGTTTCCCTTTCTTAGGCTCCCAGGAGGCTGCCACGTTGTTCCAGATAAGGTGTTGCCCCTTGCCTGGGTCCCACTGATCAGCTGATTGGGGGGACTGGCAGGGGGCAGACCCCAGATCCAGGATGCTGCCACCCAGGGTGCATTGGAAACCTGGCACTGGGATGTGGCTCCATGAGGTGCTGAGCACCCCACTGGCATGTATTAAACCAAGCTGGGCAGCCCAGCATCAGGGACTGGTTCCCTGATGTGCTTTTGAAGGTCTGAGTTCATGGGGAGCCCAACATCAGGGAATGGTTCTCTGATACCAGGATCTCCACATGCTGGCAAATTGAAAGGGTGCTTTGGTTTCTAGTGTGGTGTTTCTCATGGTGCCCTTTGAAGGTCTAGGAATGTACCAGGGATCTGACAAATTTTATCCTGGATCCCATAAATTTTGTGTCTTGCATGTCTGCCAGGCCAGGACATGTGAATGTTGGGATCCTGGATAGAATCTTGTCAGATCTCAGTCATGCAATTGAATTCACATCTGCCAGGGCCCGAAGTCTCTTGAGACAAGTTTGCAGGAGTTGCTCCTCAGCACACGAATGAGGTACTTACTTTTGCTGAGAGTCGCATGTTGTCAGCTGACTCCAAGAGCTGGCGCTTTATGTGAAACACCAAATATCACAAGACTGTGAGTGTTGGCAACCCTGCAACTAGACAGTGGGCCCCCAGGTTCGTACAAGGACACCAGGTTGGTGGCACATTACCAACAGTCAGTCTTTGTGGTGCCAGAGCACAGAGGGATGGGCTGGATGCTAAAAACATCCCTTATGGAGTTCTGTGGCTGAGGGGCTGAGCAGAGCAAAGTCCAGCGAGAGCAAACACCTGCTCTGGATACAGAGCTCTGGGTGCTCTGCAGGAGTCTCACCAGGTGAGGCAAGATGGGATTAGAGTTTGGCTTCCCTGAGGGGGTCAGGGCAACGCCGTCCCCTACCATACCCCACGCAGTCTTTCTCTGCAGCACTGTAACAGCCCCTTCCTGCTGCCCCATCCTCCCTCTCCCCTGCAACCTCCTAAGCCACAGTCTGGTTCTTCAGTGGCTGCAGTGTGAAGGGCTTCTCCTATGAAGACCTGAGCTGCGCCTGTCTCCTGTATGCCCCTCCGAACCTTCCTGCCCTCACTAGCCAGTGTCCTGTCTCTAGCACCTTGTCACATTGTGTAGAGAGGGCCCTGTATGTAAGTACCATCATTAGCACTGGTTGGTTTAGAACAGTAAAGACTAGATTTGAAAAGAATGGACTGGAGAGCCTGGAAGGGCCCATCTTGGTGGGTGGCAGAGCAGGCAGGGGTGGGCTGGTCTGGAGTCAAATGGACTATCAGAATGAAGGGCCTGTGGGCACAGCAGGGTGGGAAGAGGTGGTTTCGTGTGGCAACATGAATAAAGGCCACAGGTGATGGGTTAGATCACATCTGAGCCCTATTCTTGGTCTCCCCTAGTTCCTGTTTCAAAGCCCTTCCTCCAGATGAACAACTCTACACCAGTAGAAGGTATGGCCATGGTGATGACATGCTCTGTGAAGGAGGGGACACCCACGGTCAGGTACTCCTGGCACCACTACACCAGTCGGGACAGCACAGGGACTGTGGCTGAAACTGCCAGTGGCCTGCTGAACCTGATGTCAGCCAACCGGACACACATGGGCTGGTATACCTGCACTGCCCACAATGAAATCAACAGCCAGACCAGCGAGCCCATGTATCTGGATGTAATTTGTAAGTGGTCAGCACTGACAGTGCCAACAACCCTCTCCCCACTGTATTTCTGGCAAGATCTCAAACTATCCCTTCTTGGGCCCATTCCTGCAAATTATTTGTAAGTCCTGCTATGGCCTTCGGGGCCAGAGAGTGCTCAGTATCTCCCAGAACTGGGCCACAAAAGAGCTTCTCCTGAGAAAATAGCCCTGTTATGAAGCAGGCCTCTCCAGCCCTCTCTCCCCCAAGCCCCTCAGTCAGCTTCTGAGGCATGACCAGATGCTTCTTGGCACATGGCACTAGCATCATCACGTCAGCCTGAGGCTCTTTGGGCATCTGAGGGGGACTGAGTATTTAGAACAAGAGCAAGTATCTGGCCCACCTACACTAGGCATAACCCTGCCTTGCCCCAGCACTGCTAGGCCATGCTTTCCAAAGGGTTTCATGGGTGGAACCCACCGTGTCCCACTCCTGGACCGATTCAATCCAGTTAAAAAGCCCAGTTCCTGACCGTTCGTCTGAGCAGAGCTCCTGTCCTTCCTTTTCTGGGGCCTATTGCTACTGGCCTCCCTCTTTGCTTTTCAGATGGCCCTGATGAACCTGTGATCAGTATTGAGCCATTTGCTATTAACCATAACGGCTTCTCAGCTAACGAGCAGGAGGAGGTGATCATGACCTGCCTGGCCTCTTCTAACCCACCCAGCCACTATCTCTGGTTTTACAACAGCTCTCAGGTCTACTCTGGCCAGAAATATGTGATAGCCAAGATCTCCCGGACTCAGACAGGCACTTACACTTGCCTGGCCCAAAACATCCACCTCAACACACGCACTCAGACCACCATCATCCTCACCGTCTACTGTAAGTACCATATGTCTCTCCCAGGGGCCATGCATCCTGCCCAGATGTGTTTTTTCCAGAGTGCAGCCACATTCCTGCCTTGTCTCTTTTCCTCTGTCTGCTGCATCTTCCTCCACTCTTGCTTCCTCTCTTTCTGATGCATCTAGCTGGCTACCTGTTAGCTAAGGAGGTACCAGGAGAATGCTGAAGGGATTTAGCAGATGGCATAAAGAGGGCCATCTGTCCTCTTAAATAAAGACATTTCTATCTAGGGACACCACAAAAGTCCCCTTGTGAGGAAAGCCAACAATATTCAAGGTGTAAAGCATGTGGAGAGAGCAGGGGATCCCAGTAGCCCTTTGGCAGTGGTGTTCACTGTGCTGTCCTGCATGTAGGTGAAGGCATTGTTTTTTCAGGTCAGACTTCTCTAGCCTGTCTGGGGCTGTCTGGCAAGAGCAGAGGGGTTGTGTTGTGAGTGATCCCAGCTGGTCATCTAGCCATTTATCACATGGAAGAGGGAGTATTCAGTGATATTTGCAGCAGCTGCAGTGTTGGATAGCTGGTTTGTAGTCCAAGTTTTTGCCTGGAAGAGCTCCTTTGATGCATCTCTGGGATGTGCACTGCACTTAGATCCTCACAAATCTAGTCAGATTGTCTAGAGACTGGGGAAAATGTGATCCCTTGTAAGTCCTGAGACCCCTTTTCCAGCAGCTTTGTTCTTGGCCTCTGCTCCCTTCACATAGACTGGGCCTCAAACACTCCCCAGCCATGTGAAGGAGCGGATTTTTGAGAGAGACCACTGGCATCCTTTTGTGGTACCGACTGGGGGGACGGGGGACAGGTTGGGTAGCTGGGGAGTGTGGGGTGGAATAATTGTTGTGTAGGGATCCTAGGAGATGGGCAGGAAACTCATCCCAGATCAGAAAGCTGGAAGGATCAACCATGGTGACAGGCAGGGGATCATGAGGGTGAAGAGAGTGGTGTCAGCAGAGGAAGCTGCTGACTGAATATGATACTCACAACTTGTCACCTGCCTGAAGAGCTGCTGTTGGATTACACTGTCAGCAAATGTCCCTGGAACCATGTGCTGGGCAGAGCAGACCCTTTTTTTGGGCCAGATGTGCTATGACAGAGAAGCTCAGGGTGTTGGTTCCAGCTCTTTGCCCCTTGTGTCCTTATGACAGCACTGGGGAGGAAAGCTGCATTGCAGGTGGCCCCCATATTATTATTGGCATCACTAGCTCCTTTTGCTGTTGATTCAATGTTTGCCCATGCACAGATCAGCCCCACGGGAAGCCCAGCTGCACTCCATTCCCTGCCTCCAATTTCCAGGACATTGCTCTGCAGTGTTTGTGGCCTGGTGGGTTCCCCCCAGTGCAGCTGCGGTGGGTGAAATCCAGCCAGGAAGCAAACACCGGGGTGGCCTACTCCAATGCCACCAGCATCCAGCGAGGCATGGACATCCAGAATGGCAGCATGTACACCTGCCTGGCTTTCCACCCAGGAATCGGGGAGAAGGCCGTCTGCAAGACCACTGTATGTAAGTACCATCACCCTTTGTACCCAGCACAGCCCAAGAAAACTACACTGTGGGTAACAATAACACCATTGCTACCCAGCCCTATAATTCCAAAATCACTTTGCTTTCAAGAAGCTCTGTTTGCAAGGTACTGACAGGCCCCAAAATCCTGCCCAAAGCCTGCAGAGGCCCCCTCACTCTGCATATCACATAGTAATCTTGCACAATGCAATGGTGGCTCTCAGGGATGTTCTCCATCATGTTGCCACAAACCAACTTGGTGCCAAGAGATAAATACTTGTGGCTTCAGGCAAACAGACTGGGGTGAAAGGTTCTGTGTGCCAGGCATGTCCTTGGAAACACATACAGTCATGTAAGCTGCAGAAGTTGCTATGTGCACCAAACAGGTACAAGGCCACCAAACTGGGGCTTGGGATCCTCAAAGGACAGCCAGGGGTGTCTCCATGAGTGTGAAATAAAGCTGGTTGGGTTGCGGCCCCTGGCCCTGGGACAGGACACCTAGCTCCTGTGCTGCACAGCAGGGAAGCCTGGAAGCATTGGGACCCCAGCTATGGAGAAGTCCATCTGAAGGGACTCTCCTAAAGACACAGGCCTTGGAAGCAGGGCTGGCTTGCTTGCCAGTCTCCCTGATGGGGCTGGAGCACTGCTGTTTCACTGTTTTTCAGAATGAAATTGTATCAGGATTTCCCATTCATGGGAAACGTGAAACAGTTTTGGTTCCAAAGAAAATATTGCCTGTGAAGCAGATGCCCTGGACTTCAGGAGCACTAGGGACTTTGGGTAGTTTTCCTGCTCCCTTTATCACCAGGCATTGCTGTCATGACAAGATGACTCTTAAGTCCTAAGGGACTGTGCCATAGACTCCCTGCTGAGGCCTGGATCTGTACGAATCGTGTCCCACATGTTTGTTTTTGCAGTGGTCTGAGCTTTGGACACACTTCACTCTCACAGGGCGCTCTGGGCAAGCTCTAGGAGCTTCTGTGGAGTCCCCCCTGATTTACATGAGGGGCATTAGGAGCAGCTTGTAAATCAGGGGTGTACATTGTATGGCTCTGCCCTTGTCACCAGAGGTTTTGAGCTGGCTTAGGCCACCAGCTGTCTGGGCTGAGCTGGGGTGAGCAGAAAGCTGGGGGTCCCTCCTGCCAGGATGCACAGGGTCTCTGTCAGGTCAGATTTGGACATGGTCAGGGATGTTTGTCTCTAAGATACTGTTTGCTCTGCCCCGGCAGGGGTCCCTGGTGGGAACCCCACCTGTTCTGCTATGGCCACCAAGCAGAATGAGTTCCTCATGCTATCCTGCAACTGGGAAGGGGGGATGCCCCGTGTCACACTCTGGTGGAGAGATTGGAGGAACCATGTGCTGGGGGGCTTGAAACAGTCCAGCAACATCTACGTCATGAAGTCCAACAGCAGCCTGGGCGGCAAGGAGTTCACCTGCATCGCAGCCCACCCTCTCCTGGCCAGAGCAATAGAGTGCCACATCCAGCTGGGTAAGCAGGCCGGCCCCGGTCCAGAGGCGCTCACAAGGAACGATGGGGCATGACAAGTGCTCATGTCTCGTCAGTGAAATCACTGGCAAAGCACATGCTGAGAGGATGGGGGGAGGCCGGATCCTCAGGGAACAAATGAGGGCATTAAGGGCAAAGCAGCCAAGGCACGTTGTAGTTGAGTGAGTGGCCTTGTATGTTCACCACAGCACTGAAAATGGAGCCCCTGTGCATCCAGCTGTCAGCCTGCGGCATGAAGCCAATGGACTTTTGGAGAAAGCTCCCTTAAGCTTGAGTGATGCTTATGCAGACCCAGCTCCACATTTGTGGCAATGCCAAAACTCACAGGCTCCTGCAAGCTGAGTGGGGGCATGATATGAGATAAAGACACAAATTACTGATGCAGGAAATTCATTCCTCCAGTACAAACCACCCTGCCTAGGCCCTGGCTTTCTGGATTCTTTATTTCCGCTTCAAACACATTTCACCGCTGGAGGTGAGAGGAAAGCCAAGTTTACCTGGACTGAGTGAAACCTCTCTGAAGCAGCACTTTTGAGAGCCCAAATTGTTATCCCCAGGAAGGCCAAGTTGAGGCCTCCTGCTCAGATTCACTCATGCTTTAACCCAGCACTGGTTAGGGAGACTTGGGCCAAGACACTGCCTACAATCACTAGGGCACGTCGGATCACAAAGTCTGTTGTCAGTTTTCCAGGCCCCGTGACACATGGGCAGACAGCGTAACGGCCCAGGGGGGTTTTGTAGGACACACTGCACTGATGTTGCAGTGGATCCCTGCATGGCCAACCCCTACTGTCTGCAATCTCCCAATCTCCTCTGCTGCCTCTCATCATGATGTAGGTGGGAAGGAGCTGTGACACCTCTTTCCCTGAAACAGGCGGTGAAGCAGCCGAGCTGATGTGGTGCCCATGTAGGTGGTGTGGACACCAACAGCAGCAGAGAACAGGGACCCTTCGTAGGAGCAAGGAGTTTTGTCCTTCCTTTGTGAGCCGACAAGGAGGAAATACAGCAGTTGGTGCTAGAAGGGAACAAGTAGCTTTTAGGTAGAAACTATGCCATGAAACCAACCAAATTCTTAGGCCAACATTTTTCCCCAGCACTCGGGGCTTGTACTAAGTGTGGCTGCAAGGACAAGTCTTGAGCTGGATGCTGGGGTCATTGTGATACTCGTGTAACAGGAGCACTTGCTCCTGCCGGCACGTCTATGTGTGCATGCACACGCTGCTGCCCTGTGCTGGAAGCAATCAGGTCTGCTCCCGTGTCAGGAAGTACAGGGCTGTCTGGTGGCTGGAGGCTGCCATGTGAACATAGCACAGCAGGTGGGGGCAGCTTGGTAGCGTGCGTGCCACAAGTGGCATGGGCATCATGCATGTCACAGAAACCCCAAGCACTCAGTGAAGGGAGGCACCAGAACTGAGGCTGGGAGCACCGTTCTCCAGGGAGTGGAGTCCCCCAGGGAGGGATGCTGCTGTGAGACAGGTGTCAGGGATCACTGCCAGAACCAGGTTAACCCTTCCCTGGCCCTGCAGCTGCTGCTGCCAAATTCAGGACTAGGAATCCTCACTCACCACATAAACGTGTGGCTATTGGAGGGCCAGGGAAGGGTTAACTTGGCTCTTTGTGGTGACACCTCTCTCACAGCAGCATCCTGCCCCCCCTACTCCATGCAACTGGAGGCTTGAGCCCCCTCTGCCTCCATTCCAACACCCCAGACCAAACACTATCGGATATGCCCCTCAGGGGTAGGGATTGAAGCAGTACAGCTTAGCTTGTAACACACCTGCCTAAAAGGCTGGCCACCACCACACTCCACCAAAGAACACAGTAGGTGGTTCCACCTGTGATTGATGGAGTAAGTTCAACTCTCAATGCCACACGGGTGCAGGTGGTGGCCATGACACCTGTGCATGTACCACTGGCCATCTGTCACGTGGCAGAAGGGAGGGTGCATTTGGGCTGAAGTTTTAAGTGAAGCTCTGCTCTGTAAGCACTGTAAGAACAGTTACAAGGCCCTCCACATCACACTGCAAAAGCGGGTATGGCCACATGTTCTGGCCACAGTCCTGGATCTGCCCATGTCTCTCATTGATTCCCAGATTGTCGTGAGGGCTCAGTAGGCCCCTCCTTCCAGTGACCCTTGCTCAGAAAACACAGGGGTTGGCATTCGTCCCCTCAACTGGGTATTACTGAACAAACCCGTTGCTGACTCCAGATCCAGAATTCACCCCAGCTCCCTGTCCCCAGGCTAGGCTAGCTCTTCAGAGGTCCCAGGGACAGAGGCTGGCCTCTCTCCTTAGGATGAGTTTGCTTTTAGGGGGTCATAGGGACAGAACCCAACTTCTTCCCCCAGGCCAGGTTGGCTCTGCAGACCTCATCTCAACCAGAAGATAGTACATATGTCTTCTGGTTGCTGAAGCTGTCAGCTCTGAGTGACATGCCCTAGTCCTGTGTGATATGCAGGGCCACCTTTACCCCAGCTCTGTTCAGACTGAAATGTACTGCCCCAGAGAGCCCTTCTCACCAGAGCTGCCCTTCCCTTTCTCCCTCTTTTTGCACAGAAGTCCCCAGGCTGGTGGCAGAGAGCACTGAGGTGTCGCTATTTGAAGGTGACGAGGTCCAGCTGGGCTGCATGCTGCAGGGGCCCCATCTGGGCTCTGAAGTTTTCTGGTACAACAACAAGAACCAAGTGATCAGACCAGATGCCCAAAAGTATAGGCTGCAGCAGAGTGGCACCTGGTTCAAATTGACCGTCCGGGACACGGAGTGGCCGAGTGACAGTGGCACCTACCGCTGTGCAGCAGTGAATGCTGTGGGCAACACCAGCCTCCCCATCAGCCTCCATGTGAAAAGTAAGAAGTTCCTGGGAAACACAGAGCAATGTCCCATAGCTGGGGCTGGAGGGACAAGAGCATGCTGGGAGCTGTAGGGAACAGAAGGTGGTGAGGGCAGGCAAAGGGGAAGTGTATGGAGGCTCTGGGGGTGGAGAATTGGGTTACATTTGTGCTGGGGACCTGTGAGACAGGACGGAGTCAGGGGACAGAAGGAGCTGTCCTGGCTGGGTTAGTTGCTGGTCTGATTTGCGTGCAGCTTGCTGGAAGGTTGAACAATGACAGCATCCAGCTGCTGGACCCCCAAGGACTGTGGGGTGATGGGGGCTGCAGATCCTAGGGTTTCCTGCTCCATTTGCCCACTCAGTTTCCATGACAGTGAGTGAAGTCATGGGGGCTCTGGCACTGCCCAGGCTCCAGGGACTAGGCTGAGCCAGGCGCCTCTCACTCTGAAGTCAGTGAGGCAGGTGCAGCATTTTATTGCCTAATCTGCTAATTAGACACTGAACTAAGTAAGTGTGAATGCATGTTGATGAGAGAAAGAGACTGAGAAGGAAAGAGAGAGCCTGTGAGAAAGCAATCATGTGTTTGAAATGAACTGTGCGTGCTGTGCACATCTGCTTGCCATGTATGTACAGCTGTGCAGGGTCTGTGTGTGCCTGTACAAATACACTTGTGTGTGTATATGGCTCTGTGTGTGTGTGTGAGTGTGTTTGTGCGTGCATGTCTGTGTATGTAGCCCATGAATGACAGTATCGGGTCTGTGTGGGCATGTTTGTGCTGGGCTGTGAGTATCTGGATGCAAAGCTGATGCCTGGTCTACCTGCAGAGTACCCAGTGCCCCCCAACGTGACAATCAGCAAGCTGATGTACTCCCGGCAGCGCACCGAGGTGCAGCTGGAGTGGGTGACGCAGGGTTCAGGGAACCTCACTGGCTTCATGGTCCAGCGGCGAGACGCAAAGAGAAACTTCTCAAACTCGTCCAGGTCAGTGGACAGCCTCTGGGAAACTGTGGCCAGCGACATCGAACCTGACATCCGGGACCACCGGCTGGGTGGACTGGACCCGGCAATAGTGTATGCCTTCCGCATCCTGGCTGTCAACCACCGCACCACCGGGCACCCCTCCGAGATGAAGACACCAGGTGAAGTGACTCGGGCAGTTTGTTGTCCCTGGAACTTCTGCCAGGCCCCTACTGCAGCCCTAACGCACAGCCATAGGTCAGGTATCTAGAACCCCACCCCATCCCATGGGGCTGGGATACATGGCGGGGCTCCTGCTGGGTGGAGCATGCTGGACTGTGGAGAGTGGGGCTGTGCCTGGAAGCCCTGTTTCTTGTTCCAGTTGGACAGAAAGAAAGAACCTAGCAGGTTTGCATCTGAGCCCTGTTTATCTGAACACCCCTCCCCTTCCCTGAGGATCCCTGTCACATCAGGATGAAAGGGCAGGAGAGCATACAGCTGTGCCTTCATGTGAATTGCAACAGGTAGGACAGGCTGAATGGACTATCCAGGCCTGGCCTTCTCCCATTACCTGGGAAGTGTTGGGAGCTTGGGGCATGGGCAAAGCAATTGTATTGGTGTGCATGGAGTGGGGTAGCTGAACTGTACAGGTCAGTGTGGTGCAGGGCACGCTGTAGGTGAGGTGTGGGAACAACCTGATGTGACAGTGCTGATCTGTTCATCAGCCTTGCTACATGTTGTCAGGAACAGGTAAGCATCCTTTGTGGAGTTGGGCACAACTGCTCACAGACTCCCAAGCTTTGGACTTGGAGAATGTCGGGTCCTTGCCAACGCAGTGCAAGGGGCCTGGGAGAAGAGCCTAGGGCTGGAACGACAGGGGCAGCTGTGAATTAGGACCGAGGGATGGCAGTGGATCAGTGAGAGGAGCTCCAGGAGTGCAAGACCAGGATGCTGCTGGTTAGGACTGAGGATCCCAGCAGAACATTTAGTCAGATGCCCTGAGGCCTCAGCATGGTACGGAGAAGGCTGGGAAGCCAGGCTCTTCCTGGAGGGTCCTGAGCAGAGCGAGGCGTCTTTTCCTTAGCACTGCTGGGCCTGGGCCCAGGGCTCTGCCCTCCGGCAGTAATAGCTGCTGGGGAGCAGCACCAAGCAGACCCACCACTGGAAGTGGTTAGCTGGACAGGGCGCAACAAGGACCTCTAGAAAATGTGTTACTCCAGAAACAAGGGCATGCTATGTGAATGTGAGAGCTGGGCTGGCACATTTCCTGGGTTGAGCACTGATGCCCCACGGAGTTACAGGCCAAGGCTTTTCTCTCAGTTGTGAGGTTCAGTTCGGTACCTGTTTCTTTAGCTCTCTCCTAAGTCATGGCTGGATAAGAGCAGATCCAAGGCAATAGGATGCCAGGGCTGGGAAGGAGTCAGGATGACCAGGAAAAACTCCTGCTGCCTTCTCTTCTCTCCAGGCCTCTGCCTTCCACCCTCTGGACTTCATTCTGCTCTTCTTGCTTCTCCCTCTGCTTTCTGCTTGGCCCAACCTCCCACTCTCGTCCTGTATTGTCCTAACTGCTCCAGATGCATATGAGATCAGGAGTGGATGCTGGTCCCTGGAGCTGTACGGTGTGGTCTGGAAGAGAACTTTTCTCTGAAGGTTTCAATGTGATTGTCATTTCTGTTCCCCATCGGTTCATTATCTTAATTGCACGGTTTGGTTAATCTTTCCTGCCAACTATAATCCCTTCCTGGGAAGTGTGCCTCACCCCGCATCTCCAGATATCATCATGCACATCACCAAGAAATTACTCTGCTTGCTTGTCTGACTTCTGAAAGCCCTGAGGCTGGCTGCAATTTGGTTTGGTGTCACTAATGTGCAACATACCATCCCACATGCTGCATTTGCTCTAAGTAGGAGAGAGAACAGGAGAATGCTCTGAGTCACTTTGGCTCAGAGAAAGGTCTGGGCATTTCCTACCACACTTGGCTCCATTATTTAAAGGATTGGTTTAAAGCCCCTTGCAATCCCTGGAGAAGGACAATCGTTTTCAAGTGTAGCTCTGCCCTGAAAAGTGACTGTAACCTGTTGCCTGCCTGCTTCCTAGAAGTGCGCTCTGTTCCAGATCAAAGCCTTGGTGAAAACAAAGAACGTTTGTTTCTGTCAAACTTTTCCTTACGTTTTTTGGGGAAGGGGTGCATCAAAATACAAACAAACAAACACTTCTGTTTTGACAAAGAAATGTTGTGCAAATATTGTGCTGGATTTTTACAAAAATACTTAATCTTTGCTGAAAAGCCATTTTAAAATTTTGACATAAACTTTTCAACCAAGTCACCTCCAAGTATCTTTCCCAGCACTTGCCGCTCAAATATGCTGGCTGTAGAGACTAAAGAAAGGCCTGAGAAGTGTCACAATTAATATTTGTATTGTGGTAGCACTGAAGTGCGCTAGTCCTGAGCAAACAGACCAGCCTGACCCCAAAGAGCTGACCGCTCAAGTCAGTGCCCCTGCTAGAGCCAGCTCAGTGCTGGAGAGGGAGCTGCGGCCTGCTCCACGATCATTGCACCAGTGTAAAAAAAAGTAGCAGACAAATTACACTTATGTGGTGTAGAGTGCCTCTTGACAGAGGCAAGGGTTAACTCTCCACAGGGCAAATTATACCAGCTTAGGTGTTGTCTGTCTCTGTTCATCCTCACATCTCAGGCGGAGTTTGCAGGGAGGGCAGTTCATCCTCTTCCCCATAAGCTGAATACAGACAGCTGTGCTGCAGTGTTGGCCAAGTCACTTTTCAGGATAGGGATGTATTTTCAAATCTTTCTCAGCACCATGACCCTAGGGAGCCTCCGGCAGGGAGCTAGCTAGAATCATGGAATCACAGAAAATGAGGGTTGGAAGAGACCTGAGGAGGTCATCTAGTCCAACCATCCCCAACTAGATCATCCTAGCTGAGTGCTCATCTTCACCAGCGTATCCTGGAGGTGAAGGATACCTCCTGGCAGGAGAGAGGCTGAAACAACAGCTCTTTATACAAGAGAAGGAAGAGCAAACCCTTGCTTTGCAGATGGAAAACAATGATGCTTTGTCCTTCTCTGGTCCCTTTCATGGGCAAGCTTTAAACCACATGGCTCCCTCCTCCCTGAAGGTAAGAGTCATTGTGGAGATGGGGACACTGAGGCATAGGCCAGGAATTTTACTGGCAGTCCAGCCTGCTCTTCTAGTCAGTAGTAGAGTTGGGAATGGAAACCAGAGGTCCTGACAGCTTGGTGCTGTAAGTTCTGGTTAGACCGTGCTGAAGCCATGCGAAAAGCTATGGCTGAGCTCTCCACAAGGACAACAGCTATGGAAACATGCCTAAGTCCAGCTGGGGACGGCTCATGTAAGGTGCAAACTGAAAATGAAATGCAAAAGGAAACAATGAGTGATTTTTCTGAAAAAACAGCTGATATTGAAACCAGATGGGGCCTCCGCAGCAAGGAGCCCATGGCAGAGCAGAAGGGCCAGGAGCAGCTGCTGAAGAGAGTTTATTTAAAATCTCAGTAATTCTCTCGCAGAGGGATTGTCACAGCAGGGAGGGGATGCAGTGCCTCTGAGATGCTCAGTATGCGCAGTGCAGGACAGTCCCACCTCCAAGGGCTCCCCAGTCTGAGCAGAGCAGGGCAGAGCAGGCAGCAGGAGGAGGAGGGGTCACGGGAAGATTCAGTCATCTGTACAAGGCTGCCCGGGGTGCTCCAGGGCAAGAGAACCACGGCTTTGAGTGTAGAGAAGGGCCTGAGCCACCACTGTGTCCTGCCACAGCACTAGACGTGGGAGCAGTCTACAAATGCCTTCAAGAGGACTTCTCTTGACCATCTAACTGTGCAGACTGAACCCAGTGTTTCAGGCTGATCTGGCCACTCCCTCATGTTAACAGGAGTTGGACGAGCTGGGGGAGGTTTGAGTGCTCTGCAGGAGCATGCCATGCCATCAGAGATGGCTCTTGTTTGAAGAGATACGAGCTACAGTGAAAACTAAACACTGTCTCCTTTGGCAGGTGCTGGGTGTGGTGGCTGCTCACCTGAGTCTGAGATAGAAAGGGAAAGCAGCTGATGATTACTCTCCTTGTGGCAGGGGATACAGGGGCAGCTTGCCCTGCACTGCCACCACTATGTCTGCCAGTCCAATGGCGTCACTCCTGCCACTGATACCCTCATCCTTCAGCCAACAGGCCCTGTGGGCAGGTGGCACTGCAGAGAGGCAGATGGGCTGGGAATCAGGACACCCACGTTGTATTTCTTCCCCAGCTCGTAAAATAGCCCAGCACTAACTTGCCTGCAGCCCTCAGGGAGAAGGAGTGTCATGCACTGAATTATCTTTGCACAGATCCAACCTGTTGCATTGGGTTTTAATCAAAGAATGGGGCAGGAGCCCACTGTGACCCCAGCTGGCATGAGGAGTGACCTAGCAATTTGAACGAAATACCCACTTTCAATGGTGGGGTGCTCTTTATGCATCCGAGCTCCCGCAGGAGGAAATACGTGCCCAGAATCTCTTCCATGCTGGAGTGGCTGTGGCCTCAATAGGACTAGCTTCACTCCAGTGGTTGAAGCACAGGTCTAGGGCGGGCTTGACGCCTGGGTTCTGTGCTTTGACTCACTAAATGGCCTTTGGCAAGTCTCTTTGCCTGTGTGCTTCAGGCTGAGGAGGAGATTATACCATTTGCTGCATGGAGGGGTTGTGAGGGTTAATTCCTACTGGTGATGTGCTGAGAGGTCCTTGTTCGGGGAGGACATTGCTTCCTCTGACACTGTGCAGCATAGCAAAGCCTGGACAGTGCTGCATGCTGAGCTGGGGATGCCTCCTGACAGGAGAGCTGGAACAGGAGCTCAGTGAGAGCATTACACCAGCGTGTACAACCAACCCCCTTTAGCTGGCCTGAGGCATCTGAGGCTGAAGCCATTTGCAGCAGGGAGCTGTACAGACTGCGTCATGGCCCACAGCTGGGCAGTTAAACTGCAGCTCTGCCACCCTCCCCGCTCGCACGGGCTTCTGGCACACGGACCTCCCTCAGTGCCAGCTGCACTATGCTGAACACTAGCCTACTCTCTTCCAGCTGATCCACCTTTCAATGCCTACCCCGCCGTGATTGGGGCCGCGGTGGCAGGGATGATAGTGGCGACAGTGCTCTCTCTTCTGGTGTTTCAGTACCTCATCCGGAACCGCGCGAACAACCCAAGTGAGTGGTGGGCTTGACTGGGGACCCCCCTGCAGCTGGGTGAGGGGCCCTGGCAGCCATCCTGTGGGGCCTGCTTGTGGGCAGAGAGCGATGGGTCAGGGAGGGCAAGTGCAGCGGAGGGCATGGGGCTAGGACAGGGAACATAGTATCTAAGCCGTGCAGCTGGACTGGGCCACTAGCCATGGTGTCCCAAGGCCACATTATAAGGCAATTAGACCTTGAGGCTGACCAGAATTTGAATGGACAGGAAGCCAAGTGAAGGTAAAAAGGCAGAGGGCTGCTGCTCCCATGACACAGAGGCAAGTGTAGGGACCGAGGAGGTAAGTAAACTTCCCCATCATATGGCCAAAGAGAGGCTTTCATGCCCCAGGACAGGGAGGCATGGCCACTAGCCATGGCTTCAAAGGATTGTGCCCTCACTTCCATGGAAGCTTTGACCCCGTGCCAGGCAGGACTCTAGTGCTGACCTCAGGAGTGTGGCCAGGGAGGGGTATATGGCCAGGGGTCTGTTGTGACCAACAGCTTCTTTCCCTATGTTATTCCCCAGGGCTGCACGACATGCTCCTCCGAATGTAAGTGGCACAGACAGCCCCCACCCTGCCACCCCCCACCCTCACTGTGCCCCTCTCCCTTCCAGGCCTCCACCCACATGCCTCTTCCTTCCCCACCCCATACAGCCCCTTCTCCTACTGCAGCCCCTCTGCCTCATCGCCCCCTTCCCCACTGCGCTCATGCCCTTGCTCCCACTCAGCCCCTCCCTGCCTTCAAGATCCTGCCAGGGTCCAGCTCCCTGGCGGTTCCTCCCCTGCCCCAGATCCCTCCTCTTGCATGGCTGGAGCGCTGGGAGAGGTTGCTCCAATAGCTGCATATGATCCACTGCTCTCCAGGGCTGGCCTGGAGGTACGTGAGCACATCAGCACACCAGAAGACGCTGAGACTGCATCAGGCATGGAAGACAGAGGCGGCGAGGGGCTCAGCGACACAGCAGCCTCTGCTG